TGAGGATGAGAAGGCACGGCTATTGGCTCGTCCGTCCTCTCATACTTCTGCCTTTCCCGACGTTCCTCGACATTTATATGAGATGTGGATCCACGCTGAGGCTCAGCTGGACATATATAGGAATTTGATGACGGCGGGGAAGGTTCCTGAAGCCGATTTTGAAGATGCCCGTGTTAAGGCGCGTGATGCTAGGATTGCCTGCGGTTATGACCCCGCTACACCGGGGATCGGTGATGGTGAAGAGGACTTAGACGGGCTTGCATCTGATGCTTGGTATGACGATGAGTATCCCAATGGCGGGGGAGATGATGGGATGGCGTTGTTGGACCGGGTGGTGAAGGTGGCGGTGGCGAAGGCGGAGACGATGTGGTGTGCTGTTTTGGTACTTAGTTTTTGTTTTCTTCTTTCTTTTTTTGTGGGGGCATCTTTCTAGCCCTTTGTAAGATATTTTATTTTTTGCAATAGAATGATCATAACTTTTTGCTGTATGTTTTTGGACCCTTTTACTTTTCTTCGAATGTTTTTCTTCGGAAGAGTTGTATTGGTACATGATATTTCGAACATGGTCGAGTATATCTTTGGTTGAATTTGGGTGAAGTCCCATGTTTTACTTAATTCAAACTAAGTTGTAAATCGAACTTACATCAGGTTGAGCATGAGTTGAATTCGAGTATGATCGAATATGAATTCGATCAAGATCGAATGTTTAATTAACTTTGAGCAAGGTCGAATATGAGTTAATTCGAACGAGGTTGAACGTGAGTCGATTTGAGAGAGGTTGAATGTTGACTCTTAGTTGATTCGAACGAGGTCGAATGTGAGTTAGTTCGAACGAGGTAGAATGTTGATTAATTCGAACTAGGTCGAATGTGAGTAGATTCGAGCGAGGTCGAATGTGAGTTAGTTCGAACGAGGTCGAATGTTGATTAATTCAAACTAGGTCGTATGTGAGTCGATTCGATTGAGGTCGAATGTTGACTCTTAGTTGATTGGAAAGAGGTCGAAAGCGAGTCGATTCGAGCGAGGTCGAATATTGACTCTTAGTTGATTCGAACGAGGTTGAATGCGAGTTAATTTGAATGAGGTCCAATGTGAGTTGATTCGAGCGAAGTCGAATGTTGACTCTTAGTTGATTCGAACGAGGTCGAATGCGAGTCGATTCGAGCGAGGTCGAATGTTGGCTCTTAGTTGATTTGAACGAGGTCGAATGCGAGTTAATTCGAACGAGGTCGAATGTAAGTCGATTCAAGCGAGGTCGAATGTTGACTCTTAGTTGATTCAAATGAGGTCGAATGTAAGTCGATTCGAGCGAGGTCGAATGTTGACTCTTAGTTGATTCGAACGAGGTCGAATGTTGTGCACAGAACCTGATTCGAACATCATGTGTTTGTATGCTTTGTTTTCATATATATATATATATATATATATATATNTATATATATATATATATATATATATATAAGTTTACATGCTTTCGGGTAGGTATTCCAGTCACAGCCTATCTAGTCCCTTTATTGTTCGGCCCGAAGAAGTATTCGAGGGGTCGGACAATGAACTTGTCAACTTGTAATATATCTTGCTCGTTCCTTAAACTTCGAGATGTTCCCCTTGTTGCCTCATTAAAAACCTCCCTGAGAAAACCCAGTTGGGAAAAAACTCAGGTGAGGGAAAAAGAGTACGGCCCAGAGAACATCTTTTCTTAGAAGTTAAAGTACTTAAGGTGGGCGACGTTCCAATTGTTCGGAAATAATTTCCCCTCCATTGTTTCTAGTTAGAATGACCCTTTGCTAGCTGCTGCCATAATCTTATATGGGCCATCCCAATTAGTCCCTAGTTTTCCTTCTCGTGGGTTCTTGCTCGCCTGTGTTTTGGATTTGAGTGGTCTGACCTTGGCTCTTCGACCTCATCGAGGTCTTGCCTCCTGCTTTTGTCATTAGCTGGTCCGCTCTCCTGTGAATATCTCAGGCTTGGTTCTCCGACCTCGACCGGTATTACTGCATCAGTCCCACAGACTAGCGAATATGGTGTTTCTCCTGTGCTTGTTTTCGGCGTTGTGCGGTATGCCCATAGCACTTTCGGCAGCAGTTCTGGCCATAGTCCTTTGGCGTTCTCGAGCTTCTTTTTCATGATGTTCAATATTGATTTGTTGGAGGATTCCGCCTGACCGTTGCCCGCTGGATGATATGGCGTGGAGAGTATTCTTTTGATGTGCCATTTTTCGAAGAACTCGGCGATCTTTTTCCAAGTGAACTGGGGCCCGTTGTCGCAACTAATTTCTTTGGGGATGCCAAAGCGGCATATGATGTTTATCCATATGAATGTGATCACTTCTTGCTCGCTTATTTGCGCGAATGCACCTGCTTCTACCCACTTAGAAAAATAGTCAGTTAGAACTAAAAGAAAACATACATTACCTCGTTCCGCTGGGAGGGGTCCGACGATGTCCATTCCCCATTTGATGAAAGGCTAGGGCGGGGTGACTGATTAGAGGTGCTCGCTTGCTTGGTGAATCATGGGAGCATATTTTTGGCATTGCTCGCATTTTCTTACGAAGTCGGCAGCCTCCGTTTTCATCGTGGGCCAATATTAGCCAGCTCATATTAGGCATCTAACGAGAGCTCAATTGCTGGTATAAGCTATGCACTGACCTTTCGTGTACTTCTTCAAGGATACGCCGTGTTTGATTTGGTCCTAAGCACTTTGGTAGGGGGCTGCCATACGTTCTTTTGTACAAATCGTTATTGATGACGTTGTACCTGGCCGCCTGCATTTGAAGCTTCTTGGCTTCTTTTTTAATGGGTAGGAGCACCCCGTCCTGCAAATATGAGATAATACGATTGTGCCAGTCCCAAGTCAAGTTTATAGTTCGTACCTCGATTTTTAATCGATCGATGAATGGAGGAGGATGACCATGTTCCCTTATCCTATTATGCTTTTGGTAGCCGTTTCCAGTTTGGCGAGCCCGTCCTCTTTGATGTTCTGCGCTCGAGGTATCTGATCGAGCTGGCACTCGTCGAACTCGGGTAACAATTTGCAAATTTTAGCCTGGTATTTTTGTTGCCATTGCTCCATGATTTGGAAAATCCCTGTGACTTGGTTGATGACGAGTTGCGAGTCGCATCATAGGACTACTCGTCGTGCTCTGTACTTGAGTGCCAATTTTAACTCTGCAATCACGGCCTCATACTCGGTGTCATTGTTAGTCATATCAGGGCGCCGTATAGACTGGCAAATTATTTCGCCTGCTGGGACCTCGAGCACGGGTCCTAGTCCATATCCTGACGCGTTAGAAGCGTCATCGATGTACACAACCCATTGGTCGTGCATTTTAGTGGAAGTACAGGTGGTTTCCCTTTCGACTTCAGGCATTATCTTTGCACTAAAATCGGCGACGAAGTCGGCAAGTACTTGCGACTTTATCGCGTTCGCGGCTGGTAGGTTATATCGTGCTCGCTCAGCTCTATGGCCCACTTGGCCAATCTGCCCGATAGTTTGGGTTTGTGCAGGATACTCCTTAGAGGGAAAGTTGTGACCATCGAGATGGGTGGAACTAGAAATAAGGTCTAAGCTTTCGTGAAGCTACGACCAAGGCCAGAGCTAGCTTCTCGATGTGGGGGTACCTCCTTTCAGCGTCAACCAAAGTTTTGCTAATGTAGTAGATTAGAGACAGCGTACCTTTATTTTCTCGTACCAGGACTGCACTTACTGCGACGTCAGACACGGCCAGGTAGACAAAGAGACGCTCTCCGGGTTCTGCCTTAGCGACTAGCGGAGGCGAATACAGGTAGGCCTATTGTTCTTTTAAGGCGCCGACGCACTCGGAATTCCATTGGAGTCCGTTGTCTTTTTTTAGCACGCCGAAAAATTTATGGCACCTATCGGAGGACCGTGAGATGAATCTTGCCAGGGCGGCTATACGGCCGGTCAGATTCTGCACCTGTTTCTTGCTGGTTAAGTTTTTTGGATTCCTTCTATGGCCTTGATTTGGTCGGGGTTGACCTCGATGCCTCGTTGCAATACCAAGAAGCCGAGGAGCTTTCCAGAGGTTACGCCGAAGGCACTTTTTCGGGGTTCAATTTCATACGTACCTTCTGAGTATGTCGAAGGCTTCTCTCAAGTAGTTGATGTGGTCTTCCGTCCATTTTGACTGGACCAACATGTTGTTTATATACACTTCCATGGTCTTGTCGAGTTGCTCTTTGAACATTTTGGTCGCATGCCTCTGATATGTTGCCCCTGCGTTCTTCAACCCGAACGGCATAACCCTGTAGCAGTAGGTCCCTGGTGGGTGATGAAAGTGGTTTTTTCCTGGTCTTCCTCCTCCATAAGGATTTTGTTGTCGCCTGAGTATGTATCCAAGAAGCTTAGCAGTTCGTGCCCGGCTGTAGCGTCGATGAGTTGGTCAATATGGGCAGCGAAAATGAGTCTTTTGGGCAGGCTTTGTTCAGATCTGTGAAGTCTACGCACATCCGCCACTTTTCGTTCTTCTTTTTCACCATGACCACATTGGCGACCCGCTGAGGTTACTTCGATTCCCAGATAGAACCGTTTTCTAACAATTTCTCAATCTCTTTGTGGGCCGCGTCATTTATTGCGGAGTTGAACTTTCGTATAATTGCTCTCACTGGGGGGTAGAACGGGTCAACGTTCAACTTGTGAGTTGTTATCTCCTTCGGGATACCTGTCATGTTTGCATGGGAAAAAGCAAACAGGTCTACGTTACTTATTAAGAATGGGCGAAATTTACCTGGATCTTGGAGCTTATGGCCGATGAAAGCTTTCTTGCTGTGGTCGTTATCGTCTAGTTGGACAGAGTTGAGGTCCTCTACGGTTGACCCTGTGGTTTCTACGATTTCGGGATCTCTGACGACATATTTCCCCTCATCGCTATCTGACCCCAACTTCATTAATTGCTATGCCTCATCGGCCTTTCCTTTTAGTTATTGGGTGTATGTGCAGTCTTGGGCGATGTGGTAGCATTCTCGGGCCATGCGTTGCTCTCATCGGATGCTGAACTCCCTAAGGGGTAGGAAATTTGATGACTTGATATAAGCTGGAGGGACGACTTTCATGGTGTGTATCCAAGGTCGGCCTATGATGGCATTGTATGTCATATCCTTGTCCATGATGTGGAACGTGGACTCCAAAGTGACGCCGCCAGCCAGGACGGGCAGCGTAATTTCTCCAGATGTCCGCTCAACTGCATTGTTAAAACATGTTAGCGTGATGCAACACGGCACTATCTTGTCCTCGAGCCTCATTTGGGTGAGAACCCAAGGGTGGATGATGCACGCGCCACTCCAGTCATCGACCATAATACGTTTTACATCAGTATCAAAGACGCGTAAAGTAATGACAAGAGCGTTATAGTGAGGGAGGACCAAATTGTGGGTATCTGACTTATCAAAGATGATACTTTCTTTGAGTTCGTCATACAGTTCGTGGGTGATGGGCCGTTTGAGTTTGTGGGTGGTGGTGAACTTCATGCTGTTGATAGATGCATCGTCGCCTCCTCCGATGATCATTTAAATGGTCCGAGTTGGGGAAGGTGGTTTGGGCAGTCCCTGGTGTTGTTCTCGCCCTCGGGCAAAGTTGGCTCTCCCAGGGTCGCTCATCAGTTCTTTCAAGTGCCCTTGGTGAAGCATGTTCAAGACCTCCTGTCTTAGGGCGATATAGTCCTCGGTTTTATGACCCAGCTCCTGATGGAATTTACAGAGGGCATTTGACTTTCTGGTTCTCGGGTCGGATCTCATCTTCTGTGGCTCCTTCACTTTTGGGCCGAGCTTATCCAGTGCGTAGACTATCTCTGAGGAGGAAATACAAAAATTGTGAGCAGATAATAAAGGGGGCATACCTCTCTCATTTCGGTGGATTCCCGTTCGCGGCCTGGATGGACCTTCATCGTGTCGTGGAGGTGGCATGAGGGTGCCTCTGACGTAAGTTTGATGTCTCTCTCGATTAGGTCGGCATCCTGCTAGATCTCTCCTGATGTCGTTTCTCCGGTCCTTCCTAGACTCCATTTGGACCAAGGTCAAACGTTGGGTAGGTCCGTTGTGTATCTCGTCCCAAGTGATTGGAGGGTATTTCATGAGTCGGCTCAGTAACTTTTTGGTCACCCTCGACCTTCTTCTGCTTAGCCCATTCTGGAAAGCGACTACCGCCATCTCCTCAGATACATTTGGAAGGGTCATTCTTACACGGTTAAATTGGGCAAGGAAGTCCCTGAGTCCTTCAACAGGCGATTGCTTAATGGCGAATATGTCGTCATCCTCGCCTCTGCTTTCTTGGCCCCGGCATGGCGATGATGAACTTGTCTGCCATTTCTTTGAACGTTTCTATGGAACGCGCAGGTAATTGTGAGTACCAAGTCAGTGCTCCCCCGGTTAGGGTTTCTCCAAACTTCTTCAGCAATATGGATGATACTTGTTCTTAGGCGAGGTCATTGCCCTTTACTGCAGTGATATAGTAGGTCACATGGTCCTCCGGGTCTGTCGTGTCGGCGTATATTTTTAAGTACGGTGGCATTTTGAAGGTCTTTGGTATGGTGTGCGGCGCAGCCTCGTCGCTATATGGTTGCTCAACAAATCGACCAGCGTCCCTTTTTGGCAGATGTTTTAGGGCACCCGGTATTTTGTCTACCCTCTCTTGGTGCTCTTCATTTGGCTACGGAGCACTTTGTTCTCGTTCTCCATCTCCGCCATTTTCCTCAAAATGGTTGTGAGGGTGTCATTATCTACATCACTAGCATTGTGAGTAATACCTGTTGTGGGGGGTGGGGGGAGGTGTGCTGCTCGTCAGCTGCTGATGCGACACCGTCCCTTGTCTCTTCTCTACTCGACCTTCGAGCGGGCTTGTCGAGGAAGCCGGTTAGCGTGTTTGTCAACCATGCCTCAAGTAAATTTTTCACTGCTGATGGTGCCTCTTCTATTGTGGATGTAGAGGCACCCTTACCGTGTGAGGTCGTGATGCTACCAAGAGGTGGAGGCGAGCTGTTTTGTCTGGGAGAGGTGTTTGGTGTTATGTCTTCGCCCACTTCATTAATGGTGTTGAGGAGGTTGGTGGTGAGGTCGGCTATCGCCTTCCTCTTTTCCTCTCCGTTTCCTGCCATGTCAGATTTGTGCAAACAAGGAAACATGGTTTTTGGAAAGTTTTGTGTTTTTTTTAGATCTAGAAGACACTAAAATTTTAACTAGAAAATCCCCACAGACGGCACCAAATTGTTTGACCAAAAAGTGTTAAGACTTTTTGTTAAACTAATTAAATAAGATGAAAATGGGTAAATTCTAGTTAAAAATAATAAATCCTAGATCTGAGATCGGTTGATATGGACAACGTATAATTGCACTTAAACCAATTTAATACAATGGGTTGTTTAATGGTATTGTTATGAATGCATGGGGGAGTAATGGCAAACAATAAATATATTAAGTGACAATAGCCGTAAATAGAGAGAATGATTCACCCAAATATTCAATGAGGTGGATGATTCTTCGTCTGACAATGATGTAAGGCAAACAAACGTGGGAATATAGAAAGCTTTCTCGGATCCAAATATTCAATAAGGTGGATAATTCTTCTCTGACAATGATGTAAGGCAAACAAACGTGGAAATATAAAACGCTTTCTCGGATCTGATGAGAGAAAGTGTGGGATCAACAACAAATCGAATCTTTTATAAAGACAATGTTTGTAATTTACTTGAGAGTCAACTTTTCATGAGAGAACTTATCATATAGAATATTACATGCCCTTTCTTCTCTCTCTATTCCCACTTATATGGGACATATACCTTACCTAACTGAAAGTACAAGTACAGAGAATATTCTGTAGAATATTCCTCTAAAATATCTTATTACCAAACTAGCCGTTTGGGCTGATCTGAGTACTCGACCTCGACCCTAGCTACTCAGCTCGCCAATAGGTTCCTTCTTGAGCACGACCTCGGCCTAATCGGCTCTTAGTTATCCTCTCTTAGGCAAGATTCCCTTGGTCAGATTTTGGCCCATACAGTGCTTATACACGCTTATAAGTTAGTTTAGTTTATGTATTTATGGGTTTGATAAACATCAAAAGTATTTATAAATAAAAACTCTAATTAAGTTTGTAAACCCTCAACTTATAATATTTTTGCTCAGAAACACTTTATGGTTTGACTAATTTTTACAATTTAATCGCAATATTTTTTTTGGCAATCCCTGCTATCACCCCCCCCCCCCCTCCAAAACAAAAAACCTAACTTCTTCCCCATCCCACTTTTGCCAATCATCCTTTTTCACATAAAGATACTTTAGATTTTACAACGTTTTTTGGTAACTAAGCATTTTCGTGTGACGACCCAAAGGGTCATCACCTATTTTAAATGAATTATGTGCTTCCGAGATCTAGAGTCGGCTCGATTTGCGTGCGCAGTCCGGGCGCGTAGCCGGAAAGCTTAAATATAAAATTCTGTGAAAATGCTAAATTTTGATGTTAAAATGAATAAATTTGACTTTAGTCAACATTTTTGGGTAAACGGACCCGGACCCATAATTTGACGGTCCCGGAGAGTCCGTAGGAAAATATGGGACTCGGGCGTATGACCGGAATCGAATTTCGAGGTCCCGAGCCCGAGAAATGAATTTTTAAAAGAAATTGTTTTTCTGAAATTGTTAAGGAAAATTGAAATGAAATTTGATTAGAACATGTTGGTATCGGGCCCGTATTTTGGTTCCGGTGCCCAGTATAGGTCTTATATATGCTTTAAGTCATTTCTGTGAAATTTGGTTGAAACCGGACGTCGTTTGACATGATTTGGACCTAAATTGGAAAATTTGATGTTTTATGAAGTTTGAAAGAATTCTTGGATTTTGAGGTTTGATTCGTTGTTATTGAGGTTATTTTGGCGATTTGATCGCACGGATAAGTTCGTATGATGTCATTGAGTTAGTACGTATGTTTGGTTAGGAGCCCCGAGGGCTTGGTTGAGTTTCGGATAGGCGTCGGAGTGTTTTTGGACTTAGAAAATCTGGTGTTTTTTCTGGTTGCTGGTGTCCAGGTTATTTGTTCTATGCGATCGCATTGATTCTTCCGCGATCGTATAGAGTTAATTTGGTAGTCATCAATTTGTTCTATGCGATCGCATTGATTCTTCCGCGATTGCATAGAGTTAATTTTGGTAGTCATCAATTTGTTCTATGCGATCGCATCGATTCTTCCGCGATCGCATAGAGTTAATTTTGGTAGTCATCAATTTATTCTATGCGATCGCATCAATTCTTCCGCGATCGCATAGAGTTAATTTTGGTAGTCATCAATTTGTTCTATGCGATCGTGTTGAATCTTCCGCGATCGCATAGAGTAAAAATCCGCCCAGTTATTTAAGCTCAGAAACAGAATGCATTACGGGGAATTGGCCATTTTTCTTAAACCTTTCCTTCTCCAAAGCCCTTAGGCGATTTTTGAAGCTCTTCTTCACCATAACCTCTTGGGTAAGTAATCTTTAACTTATTTTCTTCCATTTTCATCAACATCTATTAGATTTCTAGGCTTAAAACATGGAATTAAAGGTAAAAAAATAGGGATTTGGGTAGAGTTAGGGCTTTTTGATTTTTCTTGATTTAGACCTTGTTTTGGGGTAGAATTTGAAAACAAATTATATATTCGGGCTTGTGGGTGAATGGGTGATTTGATTTTGGTCTGAAACTCGTGTTTTGACCAAGCGGGCCCGGGGTCGATTTTTGAGTTTTTGGAGAAAATGATGGAAAAGCTATAATTAGGCATTGGGTTCGAATTGTTTAGCATTATTTGATGTTATGAAGTCATTTGTGTATAGATACGATTGATTAGGAGCCGAATTCTAAGGGGGTAAAGCTATAGTTGAGGCTTGAGTTGTGTTCAAGGCATCGAGGTAAGTGGTTGGTCTAACCCTAGCTTGAGGGATTAGGAGTTGAGTCTTATTTGCTAATTGCTTCTTGTTGAGTACGACGTATAGGCATGGTGACGAGTATCTATACGTTGGTGTCGAGCATGACCGTGAGTCTTAAATTGATAGTTGTTGTGTTCTTAAATGACACTTAGGATGCTTTAAATTGATGACTTTTGGTATTGAGTAGAGATTTAGTTTATTCTCGTGGACTTTATTTATGCTTGAGTACTGGTATTAATCGAGCTGAATAAGAGTTGAGCTAGGATTTGGTTATAGTTGATTCTCCCTTGTCGGTTTGGTTATTTTGATATTGTTGTTCCTTTGCCGGAAAATTATTATTATATTGCTTTTGTTGTCCTTGCCGAAATTTTATTGTGACTTTGTGTTGAATTGAAATGGGAGCGGGTGGTACGCCTACCACAAGTTATTGATTGAAATGGGAGCGGGTGGTACACCTACCACAAGTTATTGATTGAAATGGGAGCGGGTGGTACGCCTACCACAAGATATTGATGAAATGGGAGCGGGTGGTACGCCTACCACGAGTTATGATGAAATGGGATCGGGTGGTACGCCTGCCACGAGATCTGATGAAATGGGAGCGGGTGGTACGCCTACCAC